TGAAACCTGCGTGGTTTTTGACTTGTTTGTTGGCTGGTTTTGCTTAAAGATCGTAGAACGGAGCGTGGAGGCCCGCAAAGAGTCCGCCGAGCTCTGCGGGGAGCCGGCGGGCGTGCAGCTTACACACTCACGGGTTGCACAGGCGAAAGCTGCGGCAACAGTTTGCCCAGGTACCGCCAAGCACTGGCTCTGTGATGCAGGTCGACGGGGGTTTCAGCTGAGCTGTGCTGAGCTGTCTGTCGGGTTACTGGTACTTAATTAGGTCTTTGGCCGGACACGCGCAGTTCGAGTGGACCTTGCCATGTTACTCTCGACAGCCTTACCGCTTTCGTCCCGCTTTGCAGCCCCAGCGTGCTGGCGAATCCGTCGCTGTGGCAAAGGCGTGGACATTGTACGTGCCCAGTCGCAGAGAGGAAGCACGGTTTGCTGAATGGTCCGGGAGAGTACGATAAGGTCTTGCAGCTTGGCTTTTTTTTCGGCCTTTCCAATGTCGTGAAGTTGAGACACGTCGTGTCGTACCGCGAGTGGCGGCGCAGCGGCCGGGCCGAGTTCCTGTGAGGCCAAGAGCAGACTGGCGAGCGGCTCGCAGGCCCAGGGTCACGTCGAACTCGCTTCGATCCGACAGTTTGTGAGGCTGGAACGAGCCAGAAAGAACTACAGAACAAATCAGGGAGTTTGGATTTCCCGTGACCTGAGATAGATTCTTTGGCTTGTTGCGTTGGCAGCCGCTCCGCAAGGCTCCGGCCACTGCCAATCTGCAGGCCCTTTTTCAGAGGGTCCAATGTTGTTATGCTCCGTCCGTATGTCCTCTGCGCTTTCTCTTTTTAAAAAGAGGCGATCGCTAATTTGTGCTCTTGCTACAATGGTCGTAACATGAGGGTGTTGTAACATGAGGGTGCACTTCCGCATATGTAAAGCGAGGCTGAGATTACAGGGCTCAGAGCACAGGCCAATGACAGTGGCCCAGTTGTTATCGCGATGTCGAGATCACATGTGTACCACAAACCCACGTGTGGAGCACTCACGTCCAGTAACAGTGTGAAGACTTTTCAGCCATGCAACTTGTGTCATAGGGGCGAACGTGAGACCCAACAATTTTGGATGTGCGGCCCGCCACCTGAAAAAGCGACGGTGTGTAACATAAGAGTGCACCTCCGCACATGTGAAGCATTGCTATCGAAGCATGAAGCGAAGCCCTCTGCGATCAAAGGAAACAGCTTCAATGGTTGCCAGACACAGGCACATAATCAAGCGCTAGGCCAGATTTGAAGTTGCATCATCAGGGTTGGCTTCATTCTGCACAGGCGACGCAATCCCAGCCTGCCCTAAGCTGAGTTCGGTAAAACAACGCAGATGTCTGGAGGAAGTGCTGGGCCGGGTTCGTAATAATTAAAGCAGCAGTAGTGCATCAGTAAATAAACTCAAGCTTCGAGCTACCTTGTTCGACAGAGTCATGGCGAATGGACGAGTTTCACTTCCTCGATTCGTGCGCAGACTCCTATCTGCTCACGACATCTCACGGACCGAGGAAGTCTCGCTGATGGATCCTTTGTTCACCAAGGTGCCACGCGCCGCAGCTGAGCCAGCGCTCGACACTCGGAGTGAGTTGCTTTCGGCAGAAATGCTGGGCCCCCCTGCTTTTTGCAGCCTGGGGAGGTATGAGCCGCGCAGTGGCACCATGCAAGCAGAGCATCAGGCTTCGGGCCTTTTTGGCGGAATGCCTTAACACTGTGTCACCTTGGCAGGTACGTGTGACACCTGTGCCGTCTGCTGGTGCGGTGCTTCTGCCCCACATGCTCGCATCCTAGCCTTCTTTTCGAACTCGGAAGATCCTGGTGGCACATCAGAACATTCTTTCTGTCTCAACTCAGGGCAGAAGGGCCAACGCCCAAGGGCGGCATCAGCACTCCGCCCTCAGAAAGGGATCTGTCCTTCGCGATTGATCCTGGCGCGTGCAGCCCAGAAACTGCAGTCGATGCGTATCCAGGCTCAGCCAAGCAAGTCAAGCGATCTTGCCGAGGCACTGGGAGGCCCAAGCTTTCCGGCTGGCCCGCCTCTTGGCAGTGCGCCTTCGCACGATCTGTCAGAAACTCGGGTGAATCTTTTGCGCTTCGTAGAACCATTGGTTGTCCGTCCAGGCTGCTGCAACTGGCACAGGCTAAGGCGAAGGCAAGGAGCCGAAACTTGCCGGAGTTGCAGCAGATCTTTTTATGGCCTCGTGAGTCTCGTTCCTTGGGAAGGTTAAGCACCTGGAGCTGCAGCTCGAGGCTCGGCGCTTGGCATGGCTTCGCTTCGGTTTCTTTGTCGGGTCTGTCAGGACTGCGAGCAGCGCTGGCAGCGGCGCTTTGAGGATGCGAAGCGCCAGGAGGACGCTGGGCATGCGCGTTGGGCCCTCGAGCAGACTCGAAGCCTCTCTTGAGTGTCGTTTGTGGTCTCGTGGTATTGACTTCAGGTATGGAGTTGCAGTGCCGATACCTGGAAGCTGAGCTCGACAGATGCAAGGAGCAAAGCATCGCACTAATGCCGCGGGTCAGTGTCCAGCGATGAGACAGCATCTGTGCCAGGAAGTGCACGCCAGCGAGATGCGACACTTTCAAGAGCAGAAGCGACTTCTGGTCCAAAGTGCAGCACCCAGATTGTTCACGGCGAGAGCTGTGAATGCTGATCCCACCCGAAGGTCATACGACGGAAGTAGAGGATGCAAAGCGCGAAGAACGACGGAAGGCAAGCTGAACCCTAAACGGTTGCTTTCAGCCTACCGATTACAATGTTGTGTAATGCGGGATCATGTTGTCGAGTTTGGGCTTCCGGGAAACTGGTTTGGGACGGTTTGGGACCCGTAGCCTGCTGATCCCACATGAACTTTCGCTTCGCACATTGCGCTTGATGCATCTGCTGCCTGACCAGGCGCAGGCAGACATCGACAAGGCCTGTCACACCAAACTCTAGTCTCATGGTGGAAGTGCAGGGGTTGCGAGATGAGTTATCGTAGGTGAAAGCCGACTGCCGACTGGAGATGGAGGCCTCGACAGCCACAGATGAGTTATAGTTGTGGTGATTCCCAACGCAAGGAGCAGAAGCGGAAGCACGAGCGTTCCGTTTCCATCCTGAAGCAGCAGTCCGACGTCGAGGCCTTCCGAACGGAGCATTGTGTGGGCGACGTGATCGCTGTGAAGAGCAGGCAGAGAGCCTCCGTCGGGCACATAGCGGAGAGCACCATCTCACGAAACTCGTGGAGCAGGCCGCGCGGCTTCCCCCAAAAGGCGGGACCCAGTGGCATGTGGGCCAGGTGCAGGGCTCCGTGGCCGAAGTAGAACGACTCAGTCCAGAGCTTAACAGGTTTTATCGGTGGCAACAGTGGCAACATTAACTGCTGCCCACACAGGCAAACGCGTGGATTCCGACAAGACTTTGGAGTGGTCATGCTGCCGCGTCTTGAGCATTGAAAGATGTGAGTAGCAAAGCAATACTTCATATAGAATCATTCAGCAATTCTCAGAAAACACGTGGAGATCTGTCGAGTGTAGTTGTCGGCCAGGTCGGTTCGCGAGAGGCAGTTGGAGGCAAGAGAGAAGAACGCGCGTGAGTTGGAGGCGGTGATTGGGTCGGAAAGACGAGGGAAACAGAGGGAGCATTGCTCGCCGAAGTGAAAGCTTTGTTCCTTCGATGAGACCTCGGTTTGCAGCCTCTGTCACTACGTAACGTAGAGACATCAAGAACTCGCATGCAGATGAGCTCATTACCCTCGAATCTTTTGCCTGATGCGATGTAGTGCCTGTTGCCAGGCGCAGCTCTCTCGCCAGGGCAAGGAGGTAGAGGAGCAGCGAAGAAGACTGCCACTTCCACAGCATCCGGCGAATCCGGGGCTTCGGTCGGCTGCAGCGCTTCATCCCGAGGTCTGAGATGGTGACGAACTTGAGGTCTTCTCAGGAGTTGTGTTTTGATGACAGTGCCGCTCCGCTTCACGCTGGTGTTGCTGGAGTCGGACGGTCTTGTCAGGAAGACGATAGTACCGCCATCGCTGCTGACCGCGAGCGGCTTCAGGCCCGCAGCGAAGTTCTTCTTCTGGACCAGACGAGATTGTACAAGACCCTGCGCTGACAGCCGCTGACAGCGGTTGCAATGCAGCAGGCGGAGCATCAACGTCTGCTGGATCTGCAGCAAAGTGTGCGTGATGTTGGAGTCTCGGTGTATCAGTTGTTGCACACAGCGGCAAGGAAATGAGGGTTTCAGTCTGCAGTGGCAGTCCATTAATGGTTTCTGCTGCATGAGCCTGCTAAGCCTCCCAAAGAAACGCCGTACAGTAGTAGTACGACTCGAAGATTCAGAATCCCGAGTGCAGAGATGATTAGGAGTATTGGGGCATGGAGAGCTGAATGCAGCATACCCGTCGTGAGCCTTTTGGAAGTAGCGGTTTCATTCATTTTTGGCTTTGAAGTCAGCATCTCTGGCGAACCATGTGCATGTTGATTCAATCACAGCCCATGAACCACTGGGGCGCAACAACCTGCTCTGAATAGGGGTCCCTGTCACCAAAGCAGCAAAGGAAGGGCTTTCTTTCAATGGGGACTTTCACGCGTCGAAGTTGGGGAGAGCGCAGGAGTTACTTGTTGGTGAAGCCGCTCACAGGCTGACCGAAACAACAAGGAGGCGATGAAGCACGCTTGGGCCCAGGCAGCTGCCACACCTGCTGAAGAAGTTGAAGACGAAGCTTGAAGATCTGTTGCGCAGGTGGAAGAGGAGCGGAGGACTTTGCAGGAGCAGCAGCTCCGCTTGGACAGTGAGCCTCTGCCTAAGACGACTGCAAGGCCCCAGAACGGGCCCCACAACTCTGAAGAGCAGCGGTCACCGGATCCGAGGCTGAACGCGAGAAGAGAGGAGCTGGACGTGCAGGCCGCGGGATGTGCAGCTGGGTGGGATCCACCCCTGAGTGTCTTGAGCAAGGAGCATCGGCTGAAAGCCGAGACGGAGAGGCTGAAGTCCTTGCACCAGCAGATCGAGGCACGGCGCGAGTGCAGCAGTGCCTGCGCACGCGTGTGCCGCGGCTCTCGGGCTAGACTTTGCTCCGAGGTGGCGCGGCAGAGCGCTGCGCGCCGGATCCGGGACACGGAGTCCACGGTGGCCAACGAGCGCAGCCGCCTCGGCGGCCTGGTCTTTTTGCTTTCCTCGCGCGCGAGTGGGCGGCTGGCGGCAGAAGATCACCTGCATTTCTGTAGCCCAGAAAAGGCCCTTTGCCTCCGTCCGCTGCTCGAGGTGTTTTCCTGTCCGCAGCTTCTGCGCACTGCCTTGGTGCATGTGACGATGGGGCTTGGGCAATCTAGTGCTTTTGCACCTGATGCATCTGGCACGCTTCTGGCTGATGGAAGCCGATGGGGTGTCTTCGATCTCCAAAAGGCCGGGAAAAGCTGCAGTTTGGAACGTGTTAAGTTTGACCTGCAAGCCATCGGCCACAGGTTGCTTACGTCGGTGACATCGATAGGGTGCTGATGGCTCGCTCTGTCGACATCGTCGCATCTGGTTTCCGGTGGACGGAAGGACCGACATGGCTGCCTTCTCAAGGTGCCTTGCTATTCTCCGACACCATTGACGCACGTGTCTACCGCTGGACTCCACACGGTGTCAGTGTTTGGATGGAGCAGTCCGGAGGCTTCGATGGCCAGAATGTATGCGACCACGAGCTTCTATTCGAGCCCGGCAGCAATGGCATGGCCCTGCAGGGAGACGCTCTGTTTCTGTGCCAGCATGCGACACGCCGTGTTGTCAAAGTGGGCATCCCCAACGTCGTGCCTGGAGCAAAGTTCTGTGAGACCAACTTCACGGTTGTGGCAGATGCTTTCCGTGGGACCAGATTGAACTCGCCAAACGACGTCATCGTGGGGCCCGATGGGAAGAGCGCTTCTTGCATGCGTTCTGTTCCATGTCTGCTGTGCATGACATGCCTCAGAGGACCCCGGGTTTTCTTTGTGCATTGAATTGCACTGAGGTCTGGTTCACGGATCCCATCTACGGTTTCCTCCGCAAGGCATCCGAGTCCTTCGGCCCAAGGCTTCCCCTGGATGGCCTCGAGAGCGACAATCACAATCCCTGTGACCTGCCGTACCTTGACGACTGCGCAGAAGCCCAGGGCCCGAACCACAAGGGTGTGTACCGCTGGAAAGATGGAGCTCCTCAGCCTCTGTCTAATGAGGGCTTGACCAAATGCTTTTCTTTTGTTTCTCCAGTTGATGCCCTGCTTCTCTGCCTCCTCGGCTGATCTGGTCGTAAAGGGGGTGGGTTCGCACGCAAGTTGACGAACATTAGCTCAAGCCAAAGGATTTGCTCCAAATCCCAAGTCTGGGCATAGCCTGGGTGCCTCACGATGCCGTCGTTCGACCCTCCCCCCAAACGATGCCGATGCCACCAGCTCCTTTCGGATGCTGCAGGAGATCCAGCTTGTGACAGACATCCTGGACCGTCCGAATGGTCTGGCTTTCTCGCCTGACGGCGAGCTCTTGTGGGTCGCAAACAGCAACAAAAAGACCGCAAGCTGGACGGCCTTTGAAGTAAGCGACGATTTACCGCTCAAGCCGGTCATGGTCTTGAGCGAAGGTACAAATGAGCAGTCTGGCCACGACTCTGTCTCGACCCCGGTTTACTATTTAGGGGAGATGCCTGGAAAAGGCGTCTCCGATGGCTTCAAGATTGACGACCAGGGGCTGATCTGGTCCTCAATGCCCGCTGGCCTCTGCATCCTGGATCCTAAGCCACCGAAGCCCCATGTTGTCGCAAAGGCCGGGAGATGTTTGCACGTCGGTCCTAGCGGCTAGCGGCCTAGCCTGGCCCCTGTAAGGTGATCTTCCACACCAACGTATCGAACCTGACCTTCGGAGATGGCACCTCGGCTTTTGTCTCCTCGTTGGGCCGGGTGAGTGCCCGCCTGCCCGACGCTGTGTTGTTACAGTCCAGTTGAAATTCACTGAGGTGGCGATGTCTGGGTGACAGGCCTGGGGCATCTCTGGCGCCTGCACCGCAAGACGACGCTGTGACTTGCGGCAGCACCTTCATGGCAGAAACCGAGATGTTCTGACTTCGGCCACCTGTGCACAAGTTTCTGAGTCAGGCAGAGGCAGTGGGGACGGGCTTTCCCGCCCGCAGCTCTCATATCGCGGCAGATACGTCTAGCTCGGAGGCGTACAGGGAGAAAGAGGAGGAGGAGGAGGTGAGATTGTGGCAAGACATGATTGAGTACTGGGAGGAAGTCTTGCAGTTGCAGGGCTTGCAAAGCGTGCGTTGCGAAGACTGTGCAAGCATGCAGCATGCATGCTCTGTGACGTACTTGAGCAGCCACTAGTAGAACGACATAAAGTTTCACGCGCAGAGTTCAAAGGTGTGCTGACCGTGGAGCTTCAGAGGCTTCGCGATTGAAACAGGCTACGACACGTCAGACTTGTTGAAGTGATGTGCGGAGTACAAAAGAACTGAATCGCCGTTTGATTGCTGAAGTTGAAGGCTTGTTGGTCCTTGTTGGTGCAAAGACCGCACGGCAACCATCTACTTCTGCAAAGGACGTTGCCTCATGAACGACTTGGAGGTCTTCGAGGAGAGACGCCGGCTCCACGCGCAGGAAGTGGGCCTCCCGTCCATGCCTTTGCTGTGGTGGGATCGCTGAATGGCTCGGGTGCTCAGGCGCTGAAGCTGGAAACAGACCGCAAAACCTTCCAAGAGGCCGTGGCCTGCATTTCGTGGGCTGAGCCAATCCCTTAATATTATCGCAACATATCGTAACGTCTTGATATCCTGCCGGTACCCTTTTGAGAATCTGGGGGTACTAGCGACTTCCGGTATGTCGCCCCATCGACTTTTAGGGTTTAGGTATGTTTAGGTTTCAGGTGGTGGGATTATGCAGCAACTGGTATCGCAGTCTAGCAAGCAGAGCTCGGTGCTGCAAATTCCGAACACAGGAGAAGGAACAGTTGGAGAGCGACCTCCAAAGCATGGGCCTGATGGCCCACGAGGTTGAAAGGCCAGACACTGAGGTTTCGATCATTTCGCGAGACCATCGGAACACCGTCACTGAGAGGCGTTCCGAGGAGATTCGGGCGCTGCATGACCAAGCAGCAGAGGTGCCGAAAGGGGCTGCTTAGGACTGGACCCTTCGATCGCAAGGGAGGGCATTGCGCAAGGCCAGAGCAGAGCTGCAACTTCTTCGTGGCCAGCTGCAGGCGGCCGATGGTGGTTCGGGATGTAGGACATCCGCGTAGTGGCGTAGTGACCGGTGCAGGAAGAACGAACGGCTCAAGGCTCCGAGATGGAGCGCCTCAAAACCATGTCGGGGACTCTGGTCCTGGTGCAGCGTAGCTTCAGCCGCCGCCTCTCATGGCTCAGCTAGAGGCATTCCTTGGTTGAGCAGCAGCGGCTGCAGTTGCTCCAGACCGAAAATCAGCTGCGCTTGCGTGGTATCGAGGACAGAGGCATTTCTTCGGCCTTTGGGACTCCTCTGACTGTCCTTTCAGTTGAAGGATGTGGACCTACAGCTCACGGCACAGGCGGCTTCGACGCATCTTGTGCCACGTGTCGGCGAGTGATGGTCCTGCAGGCACACTTTGTTGCGCCGGGAGCAGACCAGCTCCAGCCCCAGACTCCTCCGTGCTGTCACACAGGCCCTGATGCCGTGCGTCTCAAGGTCAGCGGCTTTCCCGGTGGCTGAGGACAGGGAAACGGCTGCTCGATTCTGCTGTTGTTCGATTTGCTCGCCAATGGAGATCGCACATTTCCCTTCAGTTCGTGAGACATGCTGTAGGCCCTCCCTGATCCAGTGAGGGCAGGTCGGCGTCGGAAGCTCAGAAATAGGGGTCTGGTCTTGCAGCGTGCCTGTCCTGCTAAGACATGACTTGAACCCGGGCATGATCATGGTGGCACTGCTGTCTTCCTCTCTAATCCAGTGTCGAGCATCTTCGTGTTTTGATTGATGAGCCAAGGCGAGCCTGAGATGCTAAAGGCGGACACGGCGATGATTTAGATTCCCTTGCCATATTGGATTTTAAGTTTGCACGGTCTACAAACAGGTTTTCGGTTGATCAGCACATGCTCGCCTCACGCTACGACTCACAAGCCTGCCTCTGGAAAGGCTGGCGTGGCAGGACCACTCTCCAAGAAGAGACTTCCTGCACAACTCTTACAAGCACAAGTGTCGGGCGAATGTTCGGATGCACAAGCAGCTGGCAATGACAACCATGCTCATGAGCCTGAGGCAACTCCCTGCAGGGCAGGTGGTCGGCCGACAGGCTTGCCGCATTGGACATCCAGTTCACGGATTCACATAGTGTGCTGTGGCTGCAGGTGGCTTTGGGTTCGAAGTTCGGTCGCAGCCGAGCCCTTAGCCGTCATTCAGAAAGGAAAGCGGATGCTCTTCACGTTCTTAGGGAAAGCAGCAAGATCGGCACGGGTCGTCCGGTCTGACAAGATTCGAGTCCTCAGTTCCTTTCGGCGCTCCACCGAACCCATCAAACTTGGCAAACGCAACTCGACCAAGGGTGCCATTCAGCAAGAGAGAAGCATGCACAGATTGCTCCGACTCCCGGTGGAGTGCGGCACAACGGCGCGTGCAAAGAGGATGGATTATGCTATGTAGTTCATCATGTACAAGTTCTGCAAGTGAGCCAGCACTCTCCAGCCCTCATAGGCTGCGAAATCTGAGTTTGTACTAAGAAGATGCTTCGTGCACATGCCATGGCAACTGCTACATGATGTACCAAGTCAGTTCTCCTTGCCCGACCCTGTTTCGTTACAGCTTATCAATTCACATGGCTTGGCCTCTGAGGCTTCAGCGATTACGGCAGGAGAACGGCGCCATGCAGACATACCTCACACAAAGTGCTGCCTTCTTGCAGCAGGTGCTTATCTACTGCTTGTCCTGACATGCTGGGTGTTTGTCGCACGCTTATTTGAGGCGCAGGGGGCTGCTGCACCTGCTCCGGAAGCTTGGCCGAAGTTGCGAGAGTAAGGAGAATACATGACGTGAGAGAATCACGGGAAGGACAGATTTGGCAAGCTTGAGAAGCATATAGAAGCGACCGGTGCGGCTTGTAGTGCCGGGGAAAGTAATCGCTCAGAGGGATGAAGCTTCGGAGAGGTGCGCAGAGCCCTGAGCTTGGGCACAACATCGCAGGCATCTCAGTGTCCTGCAGTTGCAAAACGGCCTGGTCATGCAAGCACAAGTTCCGACATGTTGGAAGTCTTTCCAATGCAGGCCTTGTGTCCATGGTTCACCAGAATGGGTATCGACTGCTGACCCTTGCTCTCCTGGCCGAGGTCTGATACGCCCCTGGAGGACATTGCAAGCCCAACATGAGCTGTCTCGAGACAATGTACTCCTGTATAGATTTTCCAGGACCTGTCCAGCCAAACGTCCTCTGCTGACTTGTGAATGGGGCTTTTGCCAGTGCCTCATTAGCTACATCCTACCTCTGCTGTGTCTGGACAGTCCATGTCAAGCTGGTCCGTTGTCATTCTGCGAGCGCCCGTGCCTTGCAGGTGTCCAGTACCATAGCATGCCCTTCTGAGGGTGTGCCAATGAGAGGCCTGCCAAAGAGAGGTCGTTCAGTGCCACGAAGTCAGCACCACGTGGATTTCATGGCATGAAACCAGTGGCTCCAGTGGCAGTGACCAGTTACCTGCAGGCTGTTTTATGGGTTTCACTCCTTAGTAATGCTTAGTCAGACTTAGAACTTCTGAAGCAGCCAGGCTTCGGGCCCTTGCGCTTGAAAAAGGTAAGGCTCTAAGGCGCACGGCATGCGCTGCTGATGCGTTTTTTGCGTGCAGAGGTCACGGGCTTGTCTTGCTCATAGCGACTCATGCGTGCTGAGATGCCTCGAATCGAAGTTCGAGCCGCACTCCCTCATAACTTTCAATAGACTCGAGTATAAACATGTATGAACAGCCTTATGAGAGGATTTAAAGCATTGCCTCAGCATCATCAGCTCCCAGCATGTGCTTGCGCGTCGTGCCCTCGATGCACCCGGATTTCCCTATCGACCGAGGAGCTTAGCACCTCGGGTTTAGAGTCACCCGGAGCATCGTTGACGAATTGATCCACAGGAGAATGGCACAGTGTGGCGTGGAATGTTGCTTACGACTGGCCTCCGGTGCCATCCTCCTGCTGGTAGTGTGCCTGATAGGCTCCGACACCGCTCATGGACATAGCATGTAGTAGAGGCAACTTTGATTGAAGCCGAGCGTGAGCAGGAATCCTTTTCAGCCTGGGTTCTACAGAGGATGCATGGCACCTGGGATCCGTTGAGGAGGTGCCCTGCCAGCTAAGCACTGAGGATACAGCCACGAAGACCAAGCCTATCCTGTGTGCTTCATAATTCTGCCTGCGGCAGTGCAACTCTTACCTGCAGGTGTGGAACGATGTTGCTGGTTTGGACCTTTCCGCCTACTTCTTGGCCCTTCTGACGCTCGTCTGCAGCACGTCTTGAGCTCTCATGTGCTCGATCCAGCTTCATCGGCATCTCGACTTGCGGCGCAAGGAAAAAGGCAATTGCACCTTCTTCGTATCTTGGTATCTTCTTCGCATGTGAGCTTGCACAGGATCGGGATCCTCACCGTGCTCCCAGCCTTGATTTGCCCAAGAGGGGCCTCGGAGGAGGAGGGGGCCAAACCTGAGCCGACAGGTGCCAAGCCCAACCGCATCGAACCGCTCGCCTGCTTTAATCTGCTTGAGGCAAAGCCCCTGGAGTGGCCACGCCGGCGCCCCCGGCGACCCCAGCACCAAAGCCGAAGCCGAAGCCGAAGCCAAAGCCGCTCAGCCCGAGGACAGGGCCAGGGGCCACGGGGCGATGCCTTCGGATGCTGTGCATCATGTGGCCACTGACCAGGAGCCAGGCGAAGGAGCTGGTGGGTTCCCGCATGAGCCCAGAACAGGCAAGGCTTCCTGCTGTCCTGATTCACATCGGTGTGAAGCTCGCTTTGTGACTGCAAGGCCCAGAAGGCCGCTGAGAAGATTATCTCTCTGCGGTCGTACGTGGAGCGAGCGGACCCGTGGCTTGATCGCAAAGAAGCAATAGAGGGCAGGCCGGACAGCAACAGGCTTTGTGATGTTTGTCTCACACTTTAAGTGTGAGGATTAACCTGGACGAGATGTGGGCCTTCTTTGATATGCCTGCACCGACAAGTAGCCGATCCATGGATCCGTCGGATCCGGTGATGCAGACTTTGAAGGGGAAGCTGAACCGACAGCGACTGCTTTTCCACCCCGACAAGAACGGACATCCTGAGGCAGGAAGGGCACTCGAAGCTGCAAGGGAGTTCTGTGAATAAGAAACAGCCTCGGCTTTGCTTGTCGTCTTCGGCGCCAGGCCGAGAAGACCTTCAAGTTCTTGGAGGTCTGCCATCAGAAGCTGATGCGGGCCTACACTCGCCAGGGGGAGTCCGTCCACCAGCGCACAAGGAGAGAGGAGGAGGAGCTGAAGAAGGAGACGGACGCAGCTGAGCTCGTGTAAAAAGGTGTGATTGGTGACGACCCCCGAGGAGGAGGAGCGCCGCAAGAAGCAGGAGGAGGAGCGGCGGGCGCAGATGGCTCGGCGCCCTGTTTTTGTTCTCTGCGAGTCTGCGAACTCGCTCTCCTTGTGAGGCCTTGATCGAGAAGGAGGAGGAGGAGAGGGTCCGCCGGGCGGAAATGGAGAAGCAGCGCTTGGAGGCGATGCTCCAGGCAAAGCAGCTCCTTGGATGTTTGCCATGCCCCTGCCCTTTCTCTCGACCTCCCCCCCATGCCCTGACTCGCACGAGTCTGCATCGTCCAAGGTTGGCCTTCGAAGCCAAATGCAACAGCAACAGCCAGTGCTCGAGCTGCACGTGGAGCAGAGGGGGCAGGGGGTCAAACTACAAAGAGAAACGACCGAGGATCCTCACGCGCTCCTCCTCGACCGAGCTGCCCGTCGCGGGCATCTTCGCGAAGACGTGTGTTCTCTCCAAGAGCTTACTGGGCAGACAGGCCTTCTCCTGCAACATGTTCCACTGGTGCCGTCGCTCCCGCCGGACAGGAGGATGTGGAGCAGCCAGCGGCCCCTATTGGCACGCTCAAAGTCCAGCTGCTACGTGCACGTGATCTTCCCACCCCAGAGACGCTATGACGCACATGCTCGTGATCGCAACTTGCATCGCTTCGCCAGCTCGATTCGGTATTTCGAGACTCAGGTATTTCCTCTCTGGCTTCAACTTCGCAGAAGTGCACCTCAGTTGCACTTGGTTTGGCGAGCCTGAGCACGCTACCCGCTAGCCGCTACCATCGTCGAGCTCAGGCGGGTCGGAGAGCAGAGCTTTCAGTCTCCCAAAGCTCCAGGGGAGAACCCTGTGTGGGACTGCAGCTTCAGCTACCAAGTGCACAGAGTTGACACAGTGCTGGGGGCATCTCGGCTTTGAAGAGCGACATCCGCACTTAAGGGAGCGCCTTAGAATCGGCTGAGGTGAGCATCTTCCGGGAGGGATGGTTTCAGGACTACGTCCTTGGGAAGCTGGAGATCCCCTTTCTGGACCTCGAGGAGTGGTCCGGGCATCCCATCGGCCGCCTGCTCGAGCCGCCGGAAGATGCTCACACTGACGCTGACGGCATGCTCGTGGAGCTCCGCGCCTCCTTCGAGTGGTTCTGAAAGTGACAGAAAGCTGCTTGAATGCTTCGGAAGGCATAGCCTGATCGAAAAGCCGTGTAAAGCTTCGTGGGATCAGCTGCAGCTCCTGATGGACACGCTTGCTGAGCTCGACGCTTGCAACAGAACCCTCGTCACGCACCTGGAAAAACATCTCAACGGTCTGCTTTTTCAAACGGATTGTTGACAAATTGCAAGGCTCCACCGTTTCCCCCCCGGCACTCGAGAGGCTGCATGCAAACTTGTAAAGTCTTAAAGTCGCATTCGGGCAAGGGCGCTAGTAATTCTGGCCTGACACTCACCGGGAATGCTTCTTCTTCTCGCGCTGCTCAAGTAAACTGTGAGGGGCCACAAAGGGCCAGAAGGTGTGGACAGAAGAACACAGGAGAGCATTACTTAGCAGAGCCGCATCTGTTTCTAATTTAGCAATCGTATTTCGTGCTGTGTTGGCAGCTAGCAAAGACATGCAACGCTTGTGCTGATGGCCATGACACTGAGGCATGGGCTCCGTTTGACAAAACATTCCGCCAGATGAATTAAAACACCCGTTTGCCGTCTCCACTGCTTCCTTCTGCAGGCGAAAGAGTAGTTTTTCGGGATGCCCAGCATTGGCCAGATTGCCGATGCCACAGTCCCCTTTGACTGTAGTACAGAGTTGTATTTGTCTGCCTTGCTTTAGTATGGCAGCTCCCCATGTTGCTTTTCGGTTGAGCCTGCCGAGGCCGCTGCGACCACGCCATCTCGAGGAGGCGTCTCACATGCTCTTAGACTGTCAGATTAAAAGCTCAGCACTCGTACAGTGAAGCTGCAGCGTGCCTTGGGAAATTTTGGGGGGCAGGGTCGATCCTCCCCTTCCTGCTCGCCAAAAGGCAGGGCGTATCCCATTGGACACCAGGAAAGGGCCGAGTGATGAAACTTTCTTTGCTGTCAGGGCGGGGCCCAATGGCTGCGACCTTTGCTTTCGCCGGATGCCCAGGCCCTTGAGACTTCTGAACTGTTGGTATCTGCCAGCCCAGGAGTCCAGTCCCAAGACAAACCGGCGTCTTAGCTCCCCAAAGGCAAGGGACTCGGGCCCGGATCTCAGTTGACTGAAGCTTTTCAGGGCGCCCAGCATCTGAGACTGACAGGTTTCTTTGTTTCAACTGGCGACGGTACGCAAAGTGCCGCCGTGACCGTGGGGTCGAGAGTGCCAACATGTTTCGGCTCGGTTGCTGTGGCCTGCAATGCTTAATCCTTGATGCTAACCGTTGTGGCAGGACAAGGCATGTGAGCTCCATCAGCACCTGCGACTCAATAACCAAACCGCAGACGGCTTCCACAGCTCGGCCCCCAAAACCGCGATGCACATTTCCGAGCCTGCTGGAGCAGAGCGCCTGTGGAACTCTCTGCTCTGAGCTACTCGGCCTAATTTGCCGTGACTTCGAGTGCATACAAGGCCACCTTGGAGAGGAGATCTTCAAAATCCAGTTCCATCCCCAGCCGTGCAATTTCTCAATTCGTGAGAGCCTCCAAGAATTCGCACTTACTGTATCATGTAGTAACCGCAGCAGCAAATGGTGGCAGCAGCTGTAGGGTTAGAAGCGGTAGTCGTAGGACCATAGTAGCAGCAATTGTGTTTACCATATAAATGCAGCTTTGAGGTCTGCCAGATGCACGATCAGAGAGGCCAACCGATGGCGACAAGAGCCAGAAGTCAGTGATCGGCTTAGCTACAGCGCCACAATGTCGACAGTGATTCCATGCATTTTCCGTGTGCCATTGAGCCGATCCAGTGACGATGCCGAGGTAGCTCTGATGCTCGCCTCAGACTAAGCTGTTGTTTATTCTGCTACATGAATGTCCCGCCTTGAGAAACGAGGCTAAGTGCATGCAGAGCAGTCTCAAACTGCCTGGCATGGACAGCCGCAGCAGCCCTCGCAACCAGCCGCCAAGTCCGGAGGCAGGAAGCGGCGCATGCAAACCCGCACAGCTCAGCCGGAGTTCGGTCCGAGGCGGGTCGGAGTCCTCTGTCGGCTGCCGGCCTCGTGCATGGCTCAGCTGCGAGAGCACGAAGTTCTTCTGAAGCTTACATGGCCTGCACGGCTCGAGCGAGAGAGGTCTTGTCAAATGGGCAGACGAAAGAGACGAAAGCACGTGGAAGCCTCGGAGGCGGCTGCGGCTGTTGCAGGTAGCCGGTGCAGCTTCAACCTGAGGCCGGGACTCAGACGCACAGTCCCGCCCTTACTGAGCTGCGCTGGCAGAAGGCTCATGCAGAACGGCTGGGGCGTCAGCGCGTCTCGGCCCAGGGAGAGACCTCTGTTATTGCCCAACGAATTCAAGTCGAGGCCTGGCTCCTTGCCCTGCTACCGGCTGTGAGTCTCTGAAGCAATCTGCCTGGTTGCCTGCAGGTTACTGCAAAGACAAGGGACCAGCCCCCCGTCGTTGGGTGGCACAAGGCCGGACGAAGCAGGAGGAAGTTAGCTAGAGCATGCTAGAGTGCATGAGCTTAAAGGCTTAAAGGGGCAATGGAAGGGAGCTCGGGCCAGGAGAGTGAACGCCATTGGGGGCTCGCTTGCCCGGCTTTGTCAGGCGCGGCTTCGACTCTCCAACGTCCACGACTGCATCACCGTTTCGTTCCCAGTGCTTTAAAGCCTCCAGACGATGAGTGTTGGCTGTGTGTGGTAAGGCTGCCGTCCTTTCATCCAGTCAGTTCCCAAGAGAACTTGCGTTTATGAGGGCTTTATCGATGTGATGGCTTTCATGTTTGGTCGCAGTGAGCTTGCAATGATGTCTGTGCGCGTCAGGAGAAGCAAATTCGCGCCATGGAAGAGAAGGCAGCTGCCTCAGCATCACCACTTTCTCGCGTGGCACCGGGGCATGTGCATCTTGCTTGTTCAGTGCACTGGTTCAGGAAAAGATCTTCGACCTCTATCTTTGGAACGAGGTTGGTCACGTCACAGCTTTCAGGTTCCCCACTCGAAGTTGGTGGATCCCATTTCACGGCTTGCACAGGTGTTGCAGGAGGAGGGAGACGGTGGCAAAGTCGTGGCACCGTCCTCAGTACCGCGCAGCGCGTTTCCCTTTGCGATTCGAATCTTCGACTCTGTCATTTTGCAGGTCTGCGAGCCGAAGCCAATTCATTCAGATGTTCCTTTTCGGACATATGCTTTGGCCTTGGCAGATTCGGAAAGCTTCGGGAAATGACATGTGTGAGTGTAGAAAGGCCGCAGGAGTTCACATGAAGTCATGTAGGCATAGCGCGAGGGGTTCCTTGCAGCCGTTCACAGCCCAGGTCATGAAGATGCGTTCAAAGAAGCCCTTTGCTGAGAATCGATGTGTTGGTGCTGCGAATGTAATATTGCGGCGGGGGGGATGTCGATGGGGAACAGTCGGGCAGCTTGAATTTCTGGATTTCGGGTTACGTATTTGGCAGTTTGTGCGCGGTAGGATGGATTGCAGTTTGTCTTCGAGGAGGTTTCGGTTAGGTTCCGCCACCCAACAGAATCGTGTCCGCATGATGAGGTCTTTGCGTGAAGCTTCCATGGAAGAGCAGTTTCGCAAATCGCTAGTCAGCGACTTAATGTGTACATGTCACATCCTTCCCCCACGTGTTGGATGTACTGAGTTCAGCCTCTTGAACCTCCCGGAACATGCTGGTGTGCAGACCTTGGGCGACTCTCACTCTTGTGGCCCGAATGCCTTTCGTGGCTCGAAGGTTCTTCCCCTCCAAGAGGTCCTCGAAGACAGCCAGTTCTATTACATTGTGATGGAGCAGGCCCCTCCCATTTGTGTTTTCATGCTTAGGCCACCAAAAAGCAGTTTCTTGTCGAGGCAACTGGAGGTTCCTTCTTTGGCGGCTTGCTGACAGAGTTTGAGGCTGGATTGTACCAGCAGTAGCATGCAATCACCTGTAGGCCTCGCAAGGCGCAGAGGATGACTCGAGAGACCTTCCAAGAACTGCTGCAGCGTACGATGTCTGAAGGACGGGGTGATGCCACCAGCAGAAGTTCGCCGGTTGATGCGCGGCATCCTTGAGGCATGCGCGCTGCATCTCTGTGTGCCCATCAGCTGATCGCTGGATGTGATACGAAGGCGATCGGACACGTTCACGAGCAGGGTATGATCCACCGTGATCTGAAACCGGACAACTTGGTCATGCGACTATGCCTGGGCCCAAGAGGTATTTGTAACAATTCTTGCAAAAGGTTTGAGCGTAAAACTGTTGGAAGCAATGCATGCTCGTCAAGAAGTGCTCGGAGGAGCACCAAGCTAGTAGCATGCCAAGGCGAAGATGAGCTCAGTCCAACAGGCAAGTCTCGTCAAGTAGCGATCATCGACTTTGACCATGCCGATCCGGCGCTGGGCTCAACCACGTCATCACGCAGGCATGTTTAGCAAAGTACCTTTTGATCTGCCTGGGCGCCTTGCCCCGACTGTTTGAGTCGCATGCCTCTTGCTTCACCACATAGGATTCATTCATGACTTAGACCGTGTTCTGAGGATTTTAAAGCATCTGCGAAGACTCCCAGATCCTGTGAATACTTCTGCGGCACCGTGTATTTCAGCGCGTCGCAGCCCCAGTCACTAGATCATACAGGCAGCTGTCAGTGGCCTCCATAGTCTTCGGTGTCTAGGCATCTTATCGAAAGTTTAAGAGTCCAAACCTCCAAGACGGAAGACGCTCTGCAGTGTCGCAGGCCCGAAGCCTTCCTCGGCTACTTCTCCCCGGCTAGCGACCTCTACAGCATAGGCGGACAGAATGCACTTTTTTATGTAGGGTGGCAATCGCAGAGCCCGCAGGGATCATCCTGTACCTCTTGATGGCGGGCAAAATGCCCTTCGATAACTCGGTCTTTCAAGAGGCCTACAGGTCAAAAAAGCAGGATGGCTCTTTTTGCATCTTTAATCCTCCCTGGGACAGGAAATGTCCGTGCTCCAGCAGTCACCGAAGAGCCGTGGATGGACTATGCACCCTTCTCGGACAGCTGCACACAGCATCCTTCTGATATCGGCCAAACTGCAAGCCTCAAAACTTTTTTGAGAGTGTGTTTGAGCTCTTCTACCCAGGAATGTCTACAAGCGCTTGAAAACAGAGCCGATCGATTGGAGGCAAACAATTCTGGAGAAGGGCTCTTCCAGCTGCAGGGCTGCCCTTGACAGGTGTGATCCGTGGCCAAAGCAGCCTTTGCAACCGCCTCAATGATGCATGTCGCTGTGGCACCGGGTTCGCGACACCGCTGGCCATGAGAACCATGTCGCAAGACAGAAGACAGTGCAACCTCAGCGTTACAAGAAAGCAACGTTCACCTCTCAACGGCATCCCAGAACTCTAAACCTTTACCTCAAGCCCGGAATCCGCGACTTGAACCCAAGCAGAGTTTCAATTGTTGTTTTCTGAAGATGTAGCTAGGCAGCTAGTCCTTACTTGTGACCTGTCATTTGGCTCAAGTAAAATGTGCCCGTGTGTTCTGGCTGTTCTGCCTATAAACTTTATAAGCATAGGTTGTCAGCCGTAGGTCTCACGTTAGTTATTGAAGTTTGCAATGGAACCAGCACTCGTAAGTCCTGCAGGCATACCTATACGTCGCTCTAGCGAGACGGGCTGAATGGAGCAGAGTGGATTCGTATCAACGGGCCGTGTTTGCCGCCATCGATGAAAACTACGTTCATCCCGAGCACGTGACCGACATGATCCCTACGCATCAAAATCTGCGCGGGTTCAACAGCTTTGACACGTCACATGTCCAATGGTACTTGAGCGGCTGGCACAACGAGATCTACAACCACCGCACTGGACGCCGAGAGACATGATTCACCTCCCTAACGGGATGGTACTCTGAGTCAAGCTTAGGTTCTATTTCACTAGCAGTGAAGTGATCTTTCAACGTTCTCGGCACCACCCTAACGGGCCTGTCGCAGACTTTGACCTAGCATGCAGGGTGGAGCATGGCCTGCTCAACTCTTTTGCGAGTTTGATACTTCGTTGTCGTCGCAAAGTGATGACACACGACAGTCTAGCGACTAGTCTTTCCTTCAGCCTGTGCCTGTCGCTTTTTCCGTTGCCCTAAGATGTGTGGGGGGGTGTTGTTTGCTGAAGATGTAGCTGGTCCTTACCTATGACCAGTCACTTGGCTTAAGTAAATTAAATGCGCACGTTGGTTTTGGCGGTTTGCCAATCAACATATTAATGTCCAATTCCGAACGTGTAGCGCGAGGCAAACAGCAAGGTGCAAAGACAATCTGCGAGCTGCAGGTGTTGCAGCTTCTGCCAATGGCTCCTGGCTTTTGAGCCGGGCAAAAGGCCAGCCTGCCTCTTGTGACATCCCGGCCAGGTGTAGGAGTGCCTTGATTTGGTCGCCACTGTCGAGAGGCCGTCATCTGCTGAAGAAGCGTTGCAGCACGAATGGTTTGCACCGGCACTCAGGTAAGCATGCCCGCTGCCTTACAAGCTAGCTTGACGGCGTGCCGAGTGCTTGACTAGCCATGACTAAGGCTTGAGGTGTGTGGGCTGTGACCTATGACCACGCCCGATTTTCTGGGAATCATCTTCTGTCCAGACGCATGGTGATGGTCATGTAGATGTACTTCCGAACAACAGTCAAACATCCTGATGTGTTGTGATCTTCACATTCACAGCCTCAGCATTTGCTGAGAGCAGTCTGCCACTGACGTCACCAAAAATTCAGTATGGAAGCACAGCAAAGTGATAGAGAGCCCTCAAACTGATGAAGTTCAAGAAAGCGTGTAGTGTCCAAGAGCTGCCGTGTCTGTTTTTTTTGGCATTTTCCTCCAAGACTGGCGGCCCTGATTGACGTCCTAGCCATTGGCAGCGAGTTTGTGGTGTATGCCTGGATGAAGAGGCTTCCCGTCCGATACTGTTAGCTTCTAGATCCTTCTGTGCAACGCGAAGCGTTGAGCATCGAGATCCAAGGGGGGTCTCCTTATGGTAAATTAATCCTCATGTGGTATACCGACGTTGGCCTTCATGTTGAGTCCGCTCCGTAGTTGTTCCTTTAGGGGTTATATGAAGTGAAGGCATGTCCGGATGGCTTGTAGAAAGAAGGCAGCGGTTGAGCATCGGCGACTCGGACTATCTCGGCACGGAGGCCACTGGCAGAGTTAATGGTGCTGTCGAGCCGCCGCGGCTCCATCCAGGAGGCTTTCAGACTAAAGGGGCAGTGACAAGTCAACTAAAGCTTACGACATGTTCGCACGAAGGATGTGTGATCATGATTGTAGATGATTGGCAATTTGAAGTCTGAGAGCTTTCGGCAGTATGGCATGTTGGCAGTGACATGCTGCGACTCACATGATGTAACCATCGTGTTGCAGCCAGTTCACCTTGCCCCTGTGCACCTTATTAGCTTCTGCATCTGGTGCTAGAAGCTGACATGAAGCATCAGCGATGCAGCTCTTGCATGCAATCTTTCTGCTGCAAGGGCTTAGTACCCTGCGGCTACCATCTCCGCATGTCGTGTGCTCTGGATGCCGGTCCTGCGTCTACTAACACAGTAGACGGCGTCTACTGTGTGACACCGAATCAAGATCCGATCTGCGTTAGCTTAATCGGGTTTTCTTCTGATGGGATGTATTTTCAACAGTCAACAGCCGTGAAGAGCAGAGCTGCATCTCAAGGGCCACTTCGTGTGCGCTAGTGAAGAGCTGGAGCTGGCGAATCTCTCCGGAGATTTACGGAGGTCATGTCCTTTCCCTCGGGGGTTGTGTGAGATCACGTGGAGTCAAAACATGTTCTGGTTGATGGGTCAATCCAGCGTATGCGACAGCATGATTTTGAGCAGAGTCGTCGACCTCAGGATCTTAGAATCTTAGTCCGCCGTGCCTTTCGGCTGCATGCTCAGGGTAGAGTAGGGTGAAGTAGCCTTGTCCCCGTTGCTCTCAGTTGGAGGCCGCACGCTTCTTTCCGTCCGATATCCGACGACACTTGCCCCAGCCGCCAGGCTCGTCGTCTCTTTGAGAGTATGGAGGGATGGAAAAAGCTGCTGCTCGCAGCAGCAGGTGCAGCAGGCCAAGATGCCAAGCTCAAAGAGGCTCAAGAGACAGAGCTCTTCCTTCAGGCGCCAGCTGCGTCTTGTACTACCTCTTACGAGAAGAGGCAGACAAGCAGCCAGAGCCTCAAAGGCTTCAGAGCAGTTTCGAAGCGGAACAAAAGCAGTTCACCGAGGGTTGCTGATGCAGACGGCGAGGAGAAGGCTGCTTCGCAGGTGCCCAAGCACACAGCCATGCTCACGCCATGTCCAGGAGAAGAAGGAGAAGAAGCTGACCCCAGAAGGAGAGCTGGCACAGGCAGCTTTTTGCATTTACGTGAGAGCTTTGGAGCATGATGCTGACTTGGTGCAGGTGCAGCAGATCCTTTCCGAGATAGTATCCTCGCAAGAGCAGATGCTTGTGGCCTGTGGCACGTTTCATCGTTGATGTCTTGCATGAATCCGGTAGTTGTGGGTTCTCACCAAGATGTACACCCAGGTATTCCTATTCTGCAAAGCTTCAAGTTCCGTCACGCCCTGCAAGCCAGGGCCACATGAAGAATCTGACCAGGGAGTTGATGACTGAGCAGCTGCCCCGGTGCTGGAAATGTGAAAAGGATGCCCAGTTTTAGCTGATGCGCCCGAACCAAGACCGGTTTTGAAAATTCAGTGAATATTCGTGGGGTTATCAAGTGTGCTGAGATGGGTTGTAACTATAGTTACCCTACTTACAACTCCACTTATAACTACCCATGAACCTCCGAGTACTGCTCGTGTCTACAAGCACCAAGGAAGCTGAGTTTTGACCAGACCTACAAGCGGCTGAAACAAGTGCAGCAAGCTTTGCTCGCTTGGTGCTTGAAGAGTTCTGACTCTGAAGTAGCAGCTAGGTAGCCTTGGACTAAAGAGCGAAGCCAGGCCGGATGATCCTCTGGAGCGGTCGGAAGCTCGATCTTCGGTCCATACAGCAACAAGCAGCCAGTGCAATCTCTGTCGAATGCCGACCAGCTTGATGGTGAAGGGCCCTTGGCCTGGAAGAGATGTGGGCCCAGGTACGGCCTCACTTTCCAGCAGTTCGATGCTTTGCTCGGCAAGCATCAGAACGATCCCAAGGTTGCGTGCCCGGTTGGTGCAAGGGTGAGATCAAGGCACTTGAGGAGATGGTTTAACGCTCAGGTGAAGGAGGGCATCCATCACATCATGGGAATGCCAGTGAAGACCGACAGCCCTGCCGAGGTTGCTTTGGTGGATGTGTCAATTGTCAATCTGTCCGTCCGTTTAGAAATTGTCATGATCTGCATTCGTGCATCGCACCATGTTGTTGACTACAACCGTGAAGTGCCTTTCCGCAGTTGGGTAGCCATTCACCAGGATTGAAGCTGTTCATGCGTCGCAGTGGTCGTGGTGGGTTGGCAGCGGAAGTGGCAGTGGTAATGGTAGTCGTGATATCAGTGGTGATAGTAGTCGTAGTCGTAGTCGTCGTAATAGTAGCAGTCGTCGTCGTCGTGGTCGTCGTAGTCGCAGTAGTAATCGTCGTCGCAGTAGTAGAAGTAGTAGAAGTAGCGCCGCAGCAGCAGCAGCAGCAGCAGCAGTGGTAATCGTAGTAGTCGTCGGTGGTGGCAGTGGTAGTGATTAGTGGTAGTGGTAGTGGTACTTGTGGTGGTAGTAGTAGTAGTAGTAGTAGTAGTAGTACTAGTAGTAGCAGCAGTAGCAGTAGTAGAAGAAGTAGTAGTAGTAGTTGTTGTGGTTGTAGCAGCAGTAGTAGTCGTCGTCGTCGTAGTAGTAGTAGTAGTAGTCGTCGTAGGAGTAAAAGTAATAGTTGTTGTTGTACTTGTGCTAGTAGCACTATAGTACTAATGATACTAGTAGTAGCAGTAGTACTAATACTACTGGTTGTACTGATAGTACTGGTAGTACAGGTAGTACTGGTAGTAAGGGTAGTACTGGTAGTACTTGCAGTACTAGTAGTATGCTATCAGTATGCTATCAGTGTTAGCAGTACTAGTAGTACTAGTCGTACTGGTAGTACTGGTAGTACTGGTAGAACTGGTCGAACCGGTAGAACTGGTAGTAATGGTAGTGCTGGTAGTACTAGCAACGCTAGCAGTACTGATACTCCTACTGGTTGTGTTGTTGTAGTAAGTACTAGTAGTTAGGTTAGTAGTACTACTAGTAGGAGAAGGAGTAGGAGTACGAGTAGGACTAGTAGTAGTAGTAGTAGTAGTAGTAGTGGTAGTAGTAGTAGTAGTAGCAGTAGTAGTAAGAGCAAGAAGAAGTCGTTTGCTCACAGCCCTGCGCTTCCAGCAAAAGGCTCATCGCCAGGGGAGCTCCCCAGCAAAATGGGGCCCTAGTTAGCCCTTTACCTTCTGTACTGCTCCTGCTGCATCTTCGCGAGCAGCGGATGCTCGGAGGCGAGGTCGGCCGCCGCCGCGCCATCGTCTTCGCAAGGATCGCAGTGTTCCTTGGAAAAGCAACGATTCTGCGGAAAGCCGCATCATTTATACAGCCAACATCTGTTAACAACCAAAATGTTATGCATCCCACAATGTTTGTAAGGAGCCCAACACACATCAAACGGGATACAACGTCAGTAAACCAAGGCGGTGCCCTGGCGAGGGTCTCGATTCGAAGGGAGTCTTTTTTTTGGATCCTCAACCAATGTGCTAAGATCTGCTGCAATTCTTAAAAGGCTTCTGAGCACCTGAGGCCGCAGCGTGGCATTGCCTTACTGGCGTGCAGAATTCTGGGACGAGTGGTTGTGGGGTTTTGGAATGCTGAGGTGTGGAGGGCAAGATGGTTCTGCTATCTCTCGAGTCTCTCGAGCTACATGTCGACCGGGGGCGAAGCTGATTCCCCCTGCATCAAGCGATGGCTCAATCTTCTGTAGCTTTGAGGATGCAAACCCCCGGGCGTCCACCTTTTCGAGGCGCCTCAGGACCCTATGCTGAGATGATTCTAATGGAAATCTTTGAGGCGATTGCGATGACTCAGGGTGTGGGAAGACCGAAACGGTCACCCGCAAGACCTGGAGCCTCGAAACCGTCGATCTTCACGGACCAGACCCGCAGGCAAAGCTCGCACGGTATCTTGTATCCGAGGCTGCAACCCAAGATGCTGCAGGCGGCCACAGCCTGCAAGAATTGCCCTTGCTTTCCTACCGCAACTGCGCGGAATCCCCAGCTGCTTTTGCAGAAGGTCTGACAGCACTTCTATAGTCCTTGTAAAAACAGAATGGCCCCGCCATGCATGCTCTGAGTTAAGCTCAGGGTTGGGCTCGACTGAAACTGCCAGTTCATTATGCAACAAGCTGAAGGGAGCTCTTCACTGGTCAGCTCCAGAGCCTCGCCATGCCCACGTACGGAAGGACAAGGAATTACTCCGGGTTCGCTGTGGGAGGGGGAGGGGGGGAGGGCAGGGAGGCGGTGGAGGCGGGGGAGGGGGAGGGAGGGGCCGCCAGAGCGCAACCATATATACATGTGCATGTATATGTACACAGTTATGCGCGTATTAGATTGGTTATTCGTTAAACTATTCGAAAACTGTTTCATTGATTTAGCTATTAACTTAACTAAGTTTTGTCATATGTGTATTTCTACTATATGTCTATATGCATTATTCATATGTATGTATTTTCTGTACATATGTGCCTAAACGTACGTATTTACGTATGTCTGTAAACGGTTGCCAAATTTGGAGCAGCATTCGGCAGTTGCACGCAGCGAAACCCCTGCACTAAACCCTCAAAGACCTCGCATCATACAAATAGGGTTCCGCGGCCTGCCGTGGGTGAGCCGTCGGCAAGGCCAGTAGAACATGAGCCTTATGAGCTCGAGTTCAGGGGTGATTGGACAGCAGAGGTTGGAGGCGCGCGAGCCTGGCAAGGCTCATCTGAACCGATGCACAAGCACACATGGTCTTTCAATCAAACCCGGAGTTGCTTTACTGGTCAGTTGTCGGCCACCTGCTCTACAGTCTCTCCGTTGCCGTCTGGCCTCATCTTAAGTTCAGATTTAGTATCATACTGAGCCTTGTCCACAAATAGCTGGTGTGCTACTTCAAAATCTTGTGCATCTTGCCCTGCCTCAAGACATGGTCTCTCTAAGCCCTCGGAAGGCGGATGCCAGCGACTGAGAAGCTGAGCCTGCAGCTACCCATGGCGCAGCATGAGCAGCCGTTCCGAAGGGATCGGCGGAGGGTTTAGGGGTTTATGGGTTGGGCTTAGGGCTTAGCTGGAACCTAGTTCAATCCAACCCATACTGAACGGAAGGGTTGGGTCAATCCATCTTGGGTTTCTGGGCTACCTACTCTTCTTCCACAGGGCATGGGGGATGTGCGAGATCCCCTGGCCATAAGGACCCCCCCCTTTGTTCCGGGGGCTTTGGAAGGACGTGAAAACACGTTCTGGGGTCTTTTTCTTTTTCCCTCTCTCTCTCTGTGCATGTTTTTACGGGCATCAACCCGAGGATGCTGGGCAAGGTCGGCTTTTCGCCCCGAACATGGTGATACCAGCAGCTCAGTTGCAGTCATGTTCCTTGAACATTGAGGCACGGAGGGCGGTGTTGGATCTGCACAAGGCAACACTGCACCGCCAGAAACGTACAGTCACAAGATCACTACTAAAGCACGCAGAGAGGCGGAAGTTGTTCACAAAGGCGCTGTCTTTCCTCGCTATTTCCGCTTCTGACGAGGGCACGAGGCGTCCGACAGAATCACCTGCACTTCTGCCGCATGGTTGGCTGCCATAGGTGGCTATGCTGCTATGCTGTGTACCCACGGCACGCTCCTGACTGGCTCTTTGCTTACACACCTCGGGCTCGTCGGATTCTTACGAAGGCACTGCATCGGTCTTGCCATACTTGAGAGGCTCTGTCTGTCACAAAAATCCCTGCACAAAGGGGGCGCGATGCTCTCCTCGATGTCCGAAACCTAAACTTCCCGAGGCCTGGCCAGCTGCAAAGACACCTGGACCTCAGAATCAGAAAAGAGAAGTCCCAGAGAAGAGACGAGGCCATGGAATATCTATGAAAGATCATGGAATATCATGCCACTGACCCCAAGATGCCGATGCCCAACCCCTCCCGCCCAAGACAGCAAGGTGCGACTGAACGTCGAAAGCCGGAAGGGGCGCATGTATTTAAATATGTGAGTATACATATGTTGTTTGCATATTCTTTATGCTTTACTTAATTTAGGTCATGTACTTCTCTAATCACACACTGCATGCTTGCATCTTCTTTCTGCTTTGTCTAGTTTAGGTCATGCACGCATCTAATCATACGCTGCACGCCCACGTACGCTGTCGTAGTAAAACTATGCAATTCAAGGGCCAACTCCGTCGAAGGGTAGACAGGGCGTTGCAGGTGGGTTTGGCCGAGGAATAATGCGGAAGCCTTGTTGACCCAGAAGTTTATGTACCTCAAGGCCCATACCACGCACCCATCGCCCATTTCCACTTCCAGCCGCCGCCGGATGTTCCTGTTCGCTTGCTGGATTGGGTTTTTCGTGGCCCTTTCCTGCTTGGAATTCCTGGTGGGCGCCAGAACGTGGAACTGCTGTGATGTGTCATCACAGATGCCACCCGAAATGAACCAAGGAGTGCCAAAATCTCGAGAGGTCAGGTGCCTGAACTCCTGTCTAGTTATTATGCGATCTGCTCTTGCGATGCAGCAGAAGTGCTTCGCGAGATGTGGAGGAAGGGAGTGGGCTGAGCAAAGTAGAGTTGCACGTAGTGCACGTGCATGACTAAGAACTTATTTGCAATGAGGGCGCCAAGATAGTCTCGCACTCAGAACAACCGCGGTCCTGAAAAAGGCATCGACATCGTCGTTGGCTGCTGCGAAGTCGTACTGATAGGCATTGCCATCTGGTCCCACCTCACACAGCAAGGCCTCCAAGACCCTCAGATGCAGGCACTCTGGGTGACGGTAGCAAAAACTATCGAACTTGGTTGCCATACTACAAAGATGATGACGACGATAGCGAACGATATAAAAATAAATGAAAGCAGCAATGGTGGACACAATAGTCTTGATCATCGTCACAGAATTATTTGACCAATGCGGAAGCACTGGCGATAGAGGTAGAAATATTCAGTATGTCCACAAGGCTTCGAATGCAACGCCCTGCAGCGAAAGGACTGTGATCATACGCAGTACCATGACGCTGGCAAGAGCCCTTACAGGAATGCCTGCCAAACTGCTAGCGCTGCATTTGCTCCATCCTGGTACATACATCAGTAGGAGACAATCTGGACCGGCGTCCCCTGTTGGGGGGAGCTTCATTGCCGCCCCCTGACTGAAGACCACTGTTGACAAAGACTGCTGCTGCCAGAACATGCAGTAACAGCTGGCTTTGAGGCTCGGGCAAAGGCACGCAAA